TTGAGTTTCAGTTTTGATTTTCAGTAAGTATTTTAACTTCCTTTTCAAATTTTTTTTGTTTTTGTTGTTAAAATGTTTTGGGGGAGGTATTCTCGTTTTCAGTTTTAAGTTCAGCACAAATTTTTGACCTATATGTTAGTATATATCTATTTTGACTGTTTTGACTATTTTGACACTATAGTATTTTGCGTACTTATTTTTGAACTTACGTCTATATATGTTTTCAACTTTATATCTTATTAAAGTATGTTTCTACTTTTACACTGATGGGGAAGAAAGTAAGAGCTTGGAGGCATGATAGAGGATTTGGCAACCCGCTCGCGACGGTGTGGCATATTCTATTTTCGAGTATTTCGGTTTAAGTTGTGATTTTAAATTTCGGGACGAAATACTTTTAAGGGGGGTAGATTGTAAGAACCCGTCCCGGGATTTACGTAAGAAAATAGGTATTTTTGTATTTTCACTAAGTTTGGGGGATACGTTCCTTTTAAAAATTGTTTTTGAGTCTTAATTGGTGAGCCCAAGGGGCCCACCCCCTGATCCTGTCCCCCCCCCCCGAAGCCTCTCATTTCTTTCTTCTCTCTCAGTCTCTCTTCTCTCTTTCTTCATCTCTCTTTCTCCATTCCCCCTCCCGGTGCTATTTCTCCGAGCAGAACACACACCCACACACACACACACACACCCATGCCCACACCTATAGCTCGTTTCTAACCCCGTGGTTGTGTTTTGGACGTCAAACCATGAAGAAACCACCTTGGAGACATTCCCAGTTTTCCGGCGAGCACCGCCCCTTTCGAGGCAATTTCCGGCCAAACCACGGCGCGTTGGCCGGCGTACGAGGTATCATTCTCTTCGTCTCGCTGAGTACTACAACTTTCCTTTTGTTTCACCCAATTTCATTGAGTATTGAAGAAGTTATACTCATTTGAATCTTACCCAGTTTCCGGCGACCTCAGTGACTTTCGAGGCAATTTCCGGCCAAACCACGGCGAGTTGGCCGGCGTGCGAGGTATCAATCTCTTCGTCTCGCTGAGTACTACAACTTTCCTTTTTGTTTCACCTAATTTCATTGAGTATGGAAGAAGTTATGCTCATTTGAATCTTACCCAGTTTCCGGCGGACACCCGTGGCTTCCAGGCTGTTTTCTGGCCAACTCCGACCACGATGACGGGAACCAAGGGTATATTTCGATTTCTTACCTTCGAGGCTTCAATTTGGTATATTGAATGACATGTTTTGGTTGAGTTTTGAGCTCCAACGGAGCTTGGGAATTCTTTGGCCGAAATCCGGCCTTCCCCCTCCTTGGAATCCGGCGACCACCAAACCCAAAGGCCTTAGGGCCTTGGTTGCAGCCCAAACCCATATCCCCTTTGTAATTAGGCCTTGGGCCGTGAGGTTCAAAAACCCAAACCCATTTTCCTTTTTACCCAAACCCAACCCACTTAAAAACCTAACCCTAAACCCATTAGACCCAAACCCTTAGGCCCAATCCAGATCCAACCCAAGTCCAAACCCAATTCACCTAAAACCTAAACCCATTTACCCTAACCCAAACCCTAAAGCCCAAACCCGGACCCTGACCCGTTGACCCGGACCCTGACCCGTTGACCCTGACCCGGACCCGGACCGTTGACCCGGACCCGTTGACCGTTGACCCGGTCAACGTCAGCGTTGACTTTGACCGGTCAACGGTCAACGTTGACTTTGACCTCGGGTTGACTTTTTGGGTTTTCATGCGGGACCCCTCCTAGGCTAATTTCGATGTCCTGAACCCGTTTCCGATGTCCGTTTTTCCAAATTTAATCGTTTGAGTAGAGTTTGACTAAATGTACCGTTTATGTGCTTAGGGGCGATTATCTGTGGCATTTCCTTCTTCGCTAGATGACGTGGCTTTTTGACGGCGAAGTACTGTGAGTGGACCCCTTCTAAAAATGCATGTTTTGATAGTATAAATGCATACATGAAAAGCATGATTTGATGATTATGTTTTATGAAACGTTTTACGAGATAACATGCTTACTGATGCTTGTTTGAATTATTACTATTTTTCCTATAACCCATGTTCTTGTAGAATATCTGATGGATGACGATATGATATTTAGAACATGTTTAGAACACCTCTTTATAGTATAGATGATGGATGACTTTATACTATGAAGTTGATTTTCAAATATATCTATGTTCACTGGTTTTGGTACTTACCTAGTGGTCCTTTCCGCTACGGGACGTAGGGATAGATCCGGTCCGTCCCGAGCGACGGTTTGGTGTTGGCATAGGGCCTGGAGTGTGTTTTCCTCTGACTGTCTGCTCAGAGACGGGGAGCCGACATGGGGCCTGGAGAGTTGTATCGGACATTCACTAGTGTTTATTATTTATGCGAATTATGATTTGAGACATTGCACGACATGCTAGGTTTCGGAAAACCTATGTTTATCATTATATATATGTGTTTTCATAAAACCTGGGGGTTAGTATGTTGATAACTATTTTATTATATATATATCAACTTGGTTCACTCATGTTTGTTTTGCGCCCCCTTCAGGACTTAGAATCGAGGCATACAATCCCGACGTCCAGGCACTTCCGCATCGGCATCTTCGAGTCCTCTTGGTGTAGGACCCACTTCTTGGTTTCATTCAATTTTATATTATTTTCTTTTAGTGTTCTAGATTAGTGGTGTGCTCTGAACACAGTCCTTATTTGCATATTCATTATTCTTTTATATTTATAAACCTTATTTATCCTTTGTTTTCAGCATTTGCACTTAATAAATGGCTTTCGTCACCCTAGGGTGTCGGCCAGCACGTGTCTACCCTGGTATTCGGGGAATATCGGGGTCAGGGCGTGTCAACATTTTGTTCAATCATCACGTTTTTTTTGCCTTGGAAATCCGACGATGAGATTTAAATAAGTGTACGACACTTGTCATAGGGTGGTTGTGTTCCTCATTAAAAATTGTTATATCAAATTTATCACGACCGATTGACTTCAATAACACAACTTTTGCCTTGCAATCACTTTTACTGTCTCCCCTCTTACCTTTTCAATTGGTTTAGGATTAGCATCAACATTATGTTTGCCTTGTTTGCAACAAACAAATTCCTTCCTTTCCCACCCATCACCACCACTGTCATTTTTACAACTATGTTCCCGAATTCCAAACCCAATTGCAAGTGCATAATTATTATAAAAGATGTATTGATACAATATCCACGTAATATTGATACATTATTGACATGATACTGATACATCTTCAACATAACATTGATACATCATTGACATGATATTGATACATTACCGAGTTGATAGTAAATGGAAACAATATCGTTTGTGTAATGATACGATATCGACAACATATTGATCCAAAATCAACAGTATAATGATATCCAAATAACAAGAATGAAACATAGTGTCATATGGGCAAAATTCCCACTTGCAAAGCATACTTTTTAAAATCAGCTCAAGAAAATTGCATATAATAACTAGGAAAGCTATAGCGATACTAGGCTAGTTTAACACCACCATTTGGACACCAGGTTCAGTTGTAATGGAAGTAATTTACTCGGGATAAACCTCATAAATTACATAATAGTATTAATAAATAAATCAGCAGGTGTTCATTTTTAGAAGGTCGGTAAAAGCAGAAACCCAGCAGTAAATGGATGCTGGCCTTTTTAATTCTTTCGCTACTTCAATCACCGCTAGAACACAAACCTTACACGTTAACAATTTTAAACATCCCATAAATTAAGGATGGATAGGAGGAAAAATGAATTCAAATCAGGCAGTCAGATGGATATAATCCAAAAACACAACATTATCCTTGAAAGTAACTCACTCCAGATTATTTTGGCGTTGCATGATACAACTACAAATGTCTCCCAAATGGGACCTATCATGGAAGATGTGAAACATTTGTTGTCATTAATCGATGGACCTATCATAGACTTGCTCGTTTTGCTCTCATTATACTTGGTTAGATGAAGCTCCTACTATTGTTTGTGATCTTATTGAGGAAGAAGCTTCCAAGCCTATTCAAGGCTTCTAATGAATATATGTCGTCCTTTTACTAAAAGAAAACTCATGATAGTATTGCTGACTATTTACTGACGTGAATCAGTAAACATATTTCTATTACCAATTTATAACATGAGTCAATAACCAAAATTAATAGTCACTTAGTATTACGGTCTAGTGGTATTCCTCTTCACTTGTAACTGAGAAGTCTTAGGTTCGATTCTCACAAAAGATGAATTTAAACCACATTATTACTAGCCTTATGTGAGGCTAAGCTAACCCCTCCTCCTTCGTGCAAATGGTGTCATTTGTTCTAAAAAAAAAAAAAAAAACCAAAATTAATAATTAAGCAAAATCATTAACCAAACATTCAAGTAATGAAATTTTGGTTGTTTATTGAGACGAAAGAGTTGTATATGTTAATACATTGTATAAGATTACAATAGCTCATACACATCTTAAGGTTCAACAAAATCCACAATCTCAAGAAACAAATTAATCACCCATTTGGGAAAACAAAAGCTGACCTCCATGGTCCTCTTCAGACCTACGCATGCCAAAAAGTGTTGGTGCTGCTCTTGTGCACGCTAAATCCAGGACCAGGAGATGAAAAGGAAGGAGCCTGGAATTGAACTCAAGCTTTCTGAAATCGGGCCTTTATCTCAAACCAGGTCTTGAGGGCTAGATTGGGTTTGGCATTGATAGACATCGTTTTAGAGAAAATGTATTTGAATTCAAAAAGCACTTAAGTGCTTTGTATAAGAAGTATTAATTATATGTTTATTGTAAAAAGTACTTTATGTTCTTTTACAAGATTCCCTTATATTTTGCCTATAGATTTATTTCAAAAATATTTTTACAAAAAATATTTTCAATCATTTTGAAAAATAATTCTGAACGAGGTGGAGAATTCATTGATGAGGTCCATAAAAGGGTACTTAAGTTGGGTTTATTTTGGGTAAAAAACCTAGTAAACCCAATTTTCCTTGTAAGAAAACGAAAAATAAAAAGGTGGCTGAGCAGAGGTGAGATGGATGATGATCATCGCTGAAAAATGACGACGACGAAGATGACATCTCACTGAAGCTCAAGAAACACCATCAAAAACCCAATTTTCACTTGTTTTTTCTTTTATTTTCTCATATTTTTTGCTTGAAAAGTTGTAAACCCTCCGCCGCTTGAAGACAAAACTGTGAAGACTCTCATACTCTCTTGACCCAGTAATCCAGGCAAACCCTTATATATATATGTATGTATATATGTAAATAAATATATTTCGAATTTCACCAATACCCAAATCGCAATTTCCAATTGGGAACCCAAAAACCCTAGAAAGATCGGATTTTGGAGTGGATCGGGTGAGGAGGAAGAGGAAGAAGATGGGGGATAAACAGGACGACGATCGGAGTCAGAGCAGCGACTACACGTCGGAGGACGAAGGCACCGAGGACTACCGGCGCGGCGGCTACCACGCCGTCCGAATCGGCGACACTTTCAAGAGCGGACGGTATGTCGTTCAGACCAAGCTCGGCTGGGGCCATTTCTCCACCGTCTGGCTCGCCTGGGACGCCCAACACTCCGTACTCTCCTCTCCCTCTCTCTTCTCTTTTTACGACACTGCGTTTTATTACTTTTTGATCTGAGGTTGTAGGTATTAGGCGTTTGAGAATGTGGGGGAAAGTAATTGAAATTTTAATCTTGTTCTTGGTTTTTTTTTATCTTTGACATGCTTAGTTTTAAGTAAATTAGTGGAGGATTAATGACCAATGTGTTTTGTTTTTGTTGGGTGGGTGTTGAATTGCACAAAAATGCCAGAGATTTGTTGCTCTGAAAGTGCAAAAGAGTGCTGACCACTACACCGAGGCGGCCATGGATGAGATAACCATCTTGAAACAGATTGCAGAGGGAGACCCAGATGATAAAAAATGCGTGGTGAAGCTTCTAGACCATTTTAAGCATTCGGGTCCGAATGGGCAACATGTTTGTATGGTTTTTGAGTACTTGGGTGATAATCTGTTGACGCTTATTAAGTATAGTGATTACCGGGGAGTGCCACTACATAAGGTTAAGGAGATTTGTTATCATGTTTTGGTTGGATTGGATTATTTGCACAGACAGCTGTCGATTATACACACTGATTTGAAGCCAGAGAATATCTTGTTGATGTCAATGATAGACCCGCTCAAGGATCCGACAAAGTCAAGAGCACCTCTTATTCTTCCGGGTGGTAACGACAAGGATGCATCGGAGTCAGGGTATGCAAAAGTGTTAAATGGGGATATGAGTCGGAACCAGAAGAAAAAGATTAGAAGAAAGGCGAAGCGTGCAGCTCAAGAGTGCGTGGATAGAGATGAAGCTGATGCTGATGTAGAAACATCCACTGAGGTAGAGGCATCTCCTAACACAAGATTGAATGTGCGTTCTGTCGAAGACCAGTCTACTAGTTCTGTCAGTGCGAATAGATCATCAGATGCTGGTGGGCCAAATGGCTCTCGTCCAGGAAGTCAGGGTAGTAAGAGAGGCAATCGCACCACAAGGCAGAAGTTGTTGGCATCAATTGACCTGACGTGCAAATTGGTTGATTTCGGGAATGCATGTTGGACGTACAAACAGTTCACAAACGATATCCAAACAAGACAGTATAGGTGTCCAGAGGTCATCCTCGGCTCAAAATATTCAACCTCGGCAGATCTTTGGTCTTTTGCATGCATTTGTTTTGAGCTTGCAACTGGTGATGTACTCTTTGATCCCCACAGCGGTGACAACTTTGACAGGGATGAGGTATGGATGTATCTGTAAACTACAATTTTCAGTTCATGCCTTATCTATTAGATATAAGATTCTCCAATTCACTTTTGCTCTGATTGCAAGCACTCTCGCTATCACACTCACACAAGGAAGAGTTCATATGATGATTCCATCAAAACATACACTCTTCATATTTAGAAATGACGAATCAATTTTACTGTTCTTCCCCTGCCCACCTCCTCTCGTATGTTTGAATAAATACATCTAATGTACTGTAAACGGCTGGTAATAAGAGATTAATGGTACAGTTGGCAAGAATAAGATACACGAATGGACACGTTTTGTGACTTTGAAAAAATCTTTCGGAAACAGTTTTTTTAGAACACAAATAAGAAAACAATTCCTCCGAAAAGCTTGTATGACTGAGTGCTCTGCTCACCATGATATAGTTTTAATGAACAGAGGGCTGTACCATGAAATGACATTTTAATACTCCTTCCCTATACCTTCTTCAACCTACTCTTTGTATTCATACATTTTCAGTAGGGCTAAGATTAATATAGACTCTTCATCTTTATATATGTTTTCTGTTCACAGTGCACCTATAGTTTGATTGCTACATTAATAACTTCATATTGGCATCGGTAGAAATAACCATGGGGAATGCATTGTTAGCGGTTGTTGAGAATCTCTACGTATGAATATATTAGAGTATGAACTCCAATAAAAGATGGCTGACCATAGTAACTCATTGGTATCTGCTGACTGCTGTCGATTGATTACAATAGCCTTATGCTGTTATTTTATTATTTCTCTCTACATGCCTTGGTTGACAGTTAGTCCTTAAGCGTTGAGGGAATATTTTCAGTGTTTTTGGGTTAAATAGAGTACTCTTTTGTAGTTTCTTATCGACTTTTCTGCGAGTCCTTCCTTGTACAGACTTCTTCAATGATATCAACAATTTGAACTTCGGCAGATGCTTTTTACTTTGTCTATATTTTATTAACCTAGTAACCTTATCTCGATATTTTCAGGATCACTTAGCATTGATGATGGAGCTTCTTGGAATGATGCCACGAAAGGTGAGAAATTTGTAAACCCCACTATTGAAGTTAAACTGAACTTCATCTAACTTAAATTTGTAAAGTGCAGATTGCCTTAGGTGGTCGATATTCTAGAGATTACTTTAATAGATACGGGGATTTGAGGCACATTCGTCGCTTGCGTTTTTGGCCCCTGAATAAGGTTCTGGTAGAAAAGTACGAATTCAGCGAGAAAGATGCAAGTGAATTAACCGACTTCCTTGTTCCCATCCTCGACTTTGTCCCTGAGAAACGGCCTACTGCTGCACAGTGCCTTCTTCATCCATGGATCAATGCAGGTCCTCGGCTACTGGAACCATCTATAGCTGCTGATAAAAAACAAGGAGTGGGCAGTGACACGGCTGAAGAAAACCAGAGGGAAAAAGACGAGAGGGAGGCAATGGAGGTTGGAGTGGGAAATATCGCCATTAATTCCGATTCTAAACGGGTCAAAGATGTCCCATCCAGTAGTAAACCTTCCAGGGCAGCCGAAGGTAATCTATCCAGGTAGAGTTGTAGCATAAGTTTTGTCTACGGATATGCCTCTTCATCGGATTTTTTGTTCGACTGCGGAATTTCTGGCAAAGTGTGACTGCTTCCGGCTCGAGTTACAAACTTATTTTTTGTGGTTGGGAGGAGGATGATAGAACTTGAGCATAGGGAAATTTGGTGCTCCAATTATAAAGGGAACATCCTTTCAGCCGCAATTGCCAAACACTCTACACTCTTCTCTGAAAATATTCATTTCAATGTGATTCATTTCATGTACTACTGAATACCAAATTTGAAATATAAAAATTCCCATAATGTTTTATTTTTCAAGCCTCCTTTATGTTATTGGTAAAACTTGAAATTTAATTTGAGATTCAGTCTTCGAAATAATATTAACACAAAAGATAATTTTTGGGAATCGTAGGGGAATGCACGACGGAACGGTTGAATATCTTAATCTTCATTTGAAGAATACTCTATAAAAACCATTTGACTTGGTGTTCGTTTATGCATCTATATGTATGGGACAAACTGACTGTATAACATTTGCATCGATTCATTTGGATGACCATCTGTGATTCGAATGATTTTTTTTAGGGGTGACCTTGACATAAAGGCTAAGAAATTAAATGGTTTTAATTATGAGATTTATACAATGAAGATATGATATTTGTAAAAACGTAGATGCAAGTATCATTCTTAAATAATTATGATATTAATGTTAGGCTAAATTAGACAAATTAATAATGTGGTATGCGTCAAACGTCAATGTTGTCATATAGCTAATTTGAATGCAAATTCTACTTTTTATCCAAATTTTGTCTAATTTTGTTCAGATGCGAGTCAAGGGTAAAATTGTTCTTGATGATTCGTTTTAAGAATACAAATTAGATTTAAGAAGTTGTAAGTTAAATCAAAAGAGACATGATAACAAAAGTACAAAACGTTTGGTCTCCCATGTGGCCAGGAAGTGCTTTTGTCTTGAATACAAACATTCTACTTTTGATAAAAAATAAAAAATAAAAAGTAAACTTAAAAAAATAAAAATAAAAAGAAAACATTCTACTTTTTCCTTCCTCACCATACTAATCATAGACATTTCAATACAGACGTAATGTACCATCTTGCGTTTCAGGTACATTAAGAAATAAGTATCTTACCGTGCAAAACATTCAAACAAAAGCTCAAAATCATCCACAATCAAACAAAACCTCAAATCTTGGCCACATGTCTATTATGATTTTTCTCCCAACAACATCTTTTCCACAAATAATAGAGGGGGAAATGTCCAATTCCACTGACAAAGGGAGAAGCACTTTTGTGGTCCAAGTTTTTTTTTTCTTGGCACTTTTGTGGTCCAAGTTCTCACAATTGGAATTCCCACCATGGCTTCAGGTGAGTTGAGAACCAAGCAATCATATTTGGGTCATGAACTCCAAGGTCACTATTTGCTTAAAAAGCATTGCGACGGATAACAAGGACATACATTTAGAGCGTTGATCCAACAATTAACGGTTGACATTCATTCACGAGCTATCAGTACGAAACCTCCTATCACGATTTAAGACTGATTTGTAAAACTAGAGAAGGAATACAAGAGGTCTATTGAGATGATGCTGTTAGCCAGTGGCTAACATGCAACTTAACCTAACCCCCACAAATAGAACACTTATTTTTCATGTGTTGTTAGCCAGGAGCTAACAACCAATCTTAATCTATATAAACTAGAGACAAATCAAACACTACTTGCTTTGGTTCATGTGTTAGCCAGTAGCTAACAAGCAACCAAACCTAGACCAGAGAAAAAAACCACACTTGCTTATTATTTCTTCATAACAATGTCGATTCGGGTTGGTCAACTCGGTGTTGGCCAACAATTCCTATGATGCATATCTTAGGATACAAACATTATGTATCTTAGCCAACGATCACTGACTGTTGCAGAAGTCCAAGAATCCCATAAACTCGTGATTTGATATCATTTGGATGCTCATCTTGATGCCGATTACACCTGGAAAAAAAAACACACAAACAAGGAATCAGGACACCGATGGTTATAAAGTAACAAGAACATGAGATTTTAGGTTCAAAGGAAAAAAAAAATGTTTTTACCCATTGTGATAGCGCTAGCAAAGATGACACTAGAGAGGATGAATACGATGATTGATGCTCTCTTTAGAATTGTGACAACTCTTCGTACAAGGAACTGTCCCCAGAAGCCAGCCAAGATCGAAACACTTGTGAGGTATATAGCTGCGAAATGAATTTACATCAGGAAAAAGAAATTAGTAAATTACCATTGCTTGCTAACCAAGTAATAAATGAGACCAGAAATAAAGCTATACCATATGGAATTGGAAACCTCTTGAGCAAGTAGAACTCCACGACCGATAACGATGCCGAGAATGTCATCACGAATGTGGCGGTTGCACTAGCAACCTGTTCATGCAAACAGTAACAATCATAGAAATTTACTTGTACCGTGTAGTTACATGGGCAAGCTACACTCAATTGGAATTGACTAGGTAAACATAATTGTTGATACCTGTGGGATGACACCTATCTCAAGCAGGAGAGGGCCAAGAACGAAACCTCCACCTGATCCAAGTAAGCCCCCAACAGTGCCTCCCAAGATTCCACATAGAGCACAGAATGCAATGTGAATTGGAGTCCATGCGATCGAAGCCTCGCATATTGACTCTGTGTTCCCTGTGCTCATTCTCTTCTTGTACTCTTTACACAGCTTCACCGATTCATATCCAAACACTCCAAATGCTATGGGAAACTGAAAAGAAATAAAAATAATAGAAGGGGTAAAAAGAACAGAACAAAAGAGGTAAGATAACTGTAAAAATTAAGGGGTTAAAAGGGTGTCCCTATCAGAATAGAGTTGAGAAACAAGTTGTGGCAATTATCTAGTAGGACATGCTCTCCTACCTGTAAGCAGAAGAGGACCCAATACCATGTACTGCAAGCAGTTACATCATTCTGCACTCAATTCAAAAGTATCAACTTATTAGCATTTAGAAATCATGCAGTCACATGGGAGCTTTACATGTCACGAGTACAAAGCCACCAAGGCGTCCCATGTTAATCGTATGCTATCAGGTATAAGGTTCTCTGCACATGGGATTGTAGATTGGCATAGGTACACCACGGTGGCCTGTGCCCATGCCGCGTCTAAGTCCTCAGATTAGGGAAAGGGGAATTACTTGCCTTGAGGATTTGAAGAAGTAGGAAAAGAACCCATAAAGCTACCAGCACCAACACTCTTTCCCATCTAAGGTTGAATATTAGTATTTGCTGAAGAAGACAGAAAAAAAAAAAAAAGTTGGCTTTTTTCAGTACTTGAGATGAGAAGATGGAACACTTGAAATTATGGGCCATCAATATTTTGCTCACCATCATTGATTTCTCTTCTCTTGGAAGTAATGACTCATAATGTGCATCAATTAGAACTGTACCTTACACAAAAAAAAAAAAAAAAAAACAGTAGATTTCCATATCAGGAACAGAAAAAATATATAAATACGCACTCGCAGGCACTCATAGTCACACAGATCTAATTGTGACTTACGTTCGCCCCGAGAGTTCACTGTAGCTTCTTGCTGCCTTGCATATTCTTTCTGCAAAAAATTCAGAAATGAATGCACAATGAAACCAGTCTCTTTCAATAATGATCTTCAAATACTTCAGATTTAGCACCCATCTTTTAGCCTATGGAGGGTACATGTTAAACATTCAATTTGGAGCGCAGATGGCTACAAATGAACGAAGTGTAAACATCGTTAAATTACTAGCAGTCTAAATTGTAAAAGAATTCTGACCTTTAAAATAGTCTCTTCCTTCCACATCTCAGCCCCTTTAAAACAAGACCTTGATGAAGTCCCTGATACAATTAGAAAGGACAAAAGATAAGAAATTTAATAAATTAAAATAAGATATGAAATTGGGTTGGGTAAGAAGTAGTGAATAACTTTTTACAGACCGAGGAAGAGAATGATGATGAGGACAGTGATGAGCCAGTAGGGGAAGACGACACTGAGAGCAACACCCAAGGTGATGCCAAGCATGAGCATGGGCTGAAAGAGAAGGGCCAAATCATAGTCTATAATTGGCACTTCTTTTGTTGGATGAGGCACTCTCAGATTATACCACACTGATGATGCTGATGCCCCCATTATCATACCTGCATCATCCAATCCAATCCAAACCAAACCAAATTGTTTGATTAAATTAAATATACATTATTCACAATTAAGTAATATATAGTAGAAGATAAAGTTAAGGGAAAAAATTCAGAATTTGGGAGAGACACAAACGGGAGGCAGGAAGGCACCAATCAAGTACCCACTCTTTTGGACATCAATGTTGTTTTAAATTAAAATCATACCAAAAGTCTAACTGAGTAATGGCTTTCACACTTTCACATTATTTTAAGTCATGACACACTTTTTCGTTTATTTTAATCCAAGGGCTAAAACATCTATAAAGGATACACACCACGAGAGTGCGAAAATCCTTTCGGGTTGGAATTCATTTTACATGTTTTAAATGAAGACTTTGACATCATGAACTCAATGGAAAGCAAAGGCAAAGGGTGGTTTTTGAAACTCAAAATATGCAGAACAAAGATAGGAAAAAGGAATTGGTAGAGAGAGAAGTGAAATTACATTTAGAGAGGGCAGCGGCTGACTTGGTATCAAATCCAACAATCAAAGTAAGCATAGGAACAAATATTCCACCCCCTCCTACTCCTCCCACCGTCCCACAGGCCGAACCCAGAAATCCAATCACTGTTGCCAACACAAGCCTCCAACCCAACTTCAATTCCTGCACTCAAAGAACAAAACAAACCCTTTATCCATTGAGCAACACTTCATATTTTCCACACATACAAAGGCGTCTGGATGTGTGCGCACCGCATGTGCACACATACAGAAACACAGAAAACTAAGAGAGAGAGAGAGAGAGAGAGAGAGAGACTTACAGGCCACGCTTTATCGGCGGTGGAGAAGTGGGAGAGATTGGAACTGAGAGAATTGGAAAGGCGGATTTGGGGAGAGTAGTAATCATATTGGTGAGAGATGAAGAGCACAGAGAAAACAGCCACAGAGAAACCTGAGAGAAGATAGAGCACTAAGCCTCTTGTGGCCATTGAACTCGTTGGTTGTTTATCTTGTCAGTACAAACCACAAGATAATCACTACAATATAACTGCAAAGCCCTGGTTTTTGCAATTGCTTGGCACCCAGATACGTTATTTGCTTTGTCTCCTACTGAACAATGTGAGAAACAACGTGCATAATATATGAGAGAGAAGTCCAGCCACATGGGTCAGCCAGGACACCAAAATGGAAAAAGGAATCAAATTAATTTTCATGAATTATAATTTTTACCAATTTGAGACAAACCAGGAGATATTCTCTGAATCTCTTCATTGGGTTTCCATGTAAAGTTAATAGTTAATATTTGATTAAATGCGAAACAATTGAATTTGTTTTTACTCCATTATGTATGCCAATTCAAGTTGGCTTCGTATACATCGGAACGACTAATTTACAATTTTTAATTTTTTTATTAGCACCCCTACTAAGTTACTAACCTGACATTTGTGTCTTGTTTTCTATATATGTTCATGTTGTTTTCATGACATACCCGATATCGCAACGGGTTGTGACGTGTAACATCTGTTAAATGAACGGGCAATATGACCCAACCAGGACTTGACTTGTTAATTTTAACGGGTAATATAAATCGATCCGTTAAGGAAAATATATTTTAAATTAAAAAATAATCAAATGAAAAACGTAATACTAAAAACGCAAGTGAGGCCAAAGAATGCAACGGTAAGGATTTAATCTCACATAAATCCTATGGCCATTGTCATAGTAAGGTTTTTTAATTAATGTAGAAGTGTGACAAATATATATAAAAATATATATACAAACGGTCGTAAGCTTTATGACTTTTCTGAAGAGGCCAACTCCTAAATTCGCCACCACAATCCCATAAACCATAGATTTAAAACTAATCGTTGAGTGTCGTTTACATATAAGCTTCATTCTTCTCAACAATTTTTTTTTTTTTCAGATTATTTATTTATTTATTTATTCTTTTGAAAACATGATCTTTTAGTGGATGCAAAAAAAATGAACAGTGTGGATAGTTGATATCACGTTCAAATTTTTACAGTTAGTAAAAATATTCTCGAAGTTTATAAAGTCTCTAGAAGCTATATAATATCGACTCATATTTCAGTTAACTATAAACATCGAAACATGATATCAACGACCGAGCTGTTCATTTTTCTGCATTCGCTAAAAGATCATGTTTTCGAAAAAGAAAATCTGAAAAACGAAATCTGGTGAGAAGAATAGAGCAAAAACGACAATCGACTGTTAAATATAAATCTAAGGCTTATGGATTATGGTGTTGACCAATGAAAATTGTAAAGTTTGACAATACAAGTGATTGTATATTTTCTTTATTACATTTTTCATTCAAACATTAAACACTATTCATGAGTGTTTAGAGGGTTTTAAAAATCTAAACAACGTTGTAACCATCATCTAAGCGTAGAGGATGCAATCATGAGCGTTTGTATATTATTTTCACACTTTTACATTAATTATTATGAATTTTAGTAGTTTAAAGTTATCAAACTAACTTTTTTCTTATCGGGTTGAAACGGGTTACCCATGGATAAACTTGTTAACATACGACTACATAATGACCCCATTAGGTAATGTGTTGATCCGAAACTCATTATTTTTTTTGTTGTTTTGGGTCGGGTTAGCAGGTTATATAAGAAATTTTTAGATCAGCCACATTAAAATTTAATTTAAATGACTAATATACCCTAATATGCAATGACAATTTCAACCTCATAAGGTTTTTAAAAACTTCAACATTTTGGTTTTATTATACTCAATTATTGGACCACAGTTCATTTTTTGATATGCCGAGTTGTTCAAAAGTAGAAACATTATCAAAGAGTAGCCTCTGGGAAAGTATGAAGCAACCGCAAAATAGTATTCATGAAGTTAATGCAAAACCTGTTATATGCATTTTTAGATCTTTTTGCTACAACATTGATGGATTCTCAAATCTAAATCTTCATTCTTTGAAAGGGAGGAAAAACAACATAGAAATCACCTCATAATTTGAATATGTAAAGAGTCTAGGTGTAAAAAATAAAAATAAAAACTAAAGTATGCATTTGCACCTAAAATATGTAAAAAAACGTGGGGTATATGTAGGAAATGTGGGGTTTAAGTTGAGAGCACGAGGTGTGAGGATATTATAGGAAAGTACGTGAGACATATTAAGATAAATTTTTAATTGAAAAAGCAAATGTAGACTGTATTAAGTATGTGATGTGTATTCAACAATATGTGAAATGGTAATAAAACAAACCATTTTTATTTTTTTTATTTTTATAGTTAGATCGACTACTTACATGTAAGGATGGAAATCTCTTTCATAAATTTCGAAACAAAAACATATACTTATTTAGTTGTAATTCCAACCAAAAAAAAAAAAAAACAATCTCTCTCTCTCTATTTTGAATAATAAATGCTAATCAAAGATGACAATCATGACATTAAATATACGAGTAATGTTATGGAGATCATATATTTTTAATATATTGGTAGGCACACAATCATCATCTAATGTCATAATGTCAGATGATACATAAATATGGTATAAAAAATAAAATTCCCCTAATATTTTCCTAAGTATAATGTCTCAACGTTTGATTAAAGAAATTTACTTTCATAAAGTGTTCGTGCAATAAAACACTGTCAAAGCAAGAGCTCAAAATAACTCTTTCGAAGAAACGTTCCTTTTATTTACATTACCAATCAAACGGAAATATATATATATATATATATATATTATATATATTTATTTATCGTAATAAGTTATTGTCCTAGATTTTTTTATTCTTTTATCTTTTCTGGGTCAACTTTGCGATTGCTCAATGATTCTGATACAGTGCGAATTTTACCTTTATTTACCTCGGTGTTGGACAGTGAAAAGGTTGTACCATGCTTGCAGTCGGATTCCAGTTCTTTATCTATTCCACTTTTTCAAAAGAAGTAGATAACCGTAACTTGTCATCAACTATTTATTTTTTAAAAAAACAGTTTGCCTAAGGTGGCTGGCTGGTCCACATTAGCAAGCCTTGCAAGTAGCAGATTCCATTTTAGAAGTGGTGGGGAGACGATATTTTGCAGACGAACTATATTTTTAATAAATGTGATACCTATGTAAATTAGTGGATCTTACTTTTATCACAGAGAATTTATATATTGTGTACAAAATGAGAAACTCATCCAACCTATTGGTCACTATGATTTCATCCTTCATGTATATATGTTGAAATCCCAAATGCTCAAAGCACTAAAACAAGGAGAAACAACCAAGAATCAAGCAGTTTCTTTTCATAGTAATTTTCTTTCACGCTTATTAAAGAAAAAATTGTATATGTTGCAAGAACTTCTCATAAATAATCATTTTTGGGTCACAAAATTCTGGAGAAACAATGGTAGAAAATAGAAAACAACTTTTTAAAAATTCGATTCTGATTCTTCTTCAATTCAATTATTCATCAATTCAATCTCTCCATTCTAATAATTACAGATTAGTAAACGTGCTCTAGATTTTCAAATCTCAGTTCATAAATGTACTGCTAGAAAATCAGTAAAAAAAGCCTTGCCCGTAATTTGCTTATGGAGATAGAAAGAGCACACCATGGTGAATTCAAAGGGTAAAACCATGATTTTCTTTTACCATGTACCAAACTCAGGGTGTCATGATCATGAGAGTCAGGCTCATTGTGGTACCATCCTCCCACTCTTAAATATGCTGTTCAATTTCTTCTCGGAAGACACAGCCACCGTGTTGTATCTTTCTTCTCCAACTTAAATATATATATATATATATATATATATAAAACTTAATTTGGAACTATTTTTAAAAAAGAAAACTAATGAAAAAGGTTTGAAAATTTTGAGTTTTAACGATAAGAACAAAATAAAAGGTAAAATGAATAGTATCAGAATTAATATTTTAGTGTAAAAATATGATTTTTCGTTAAAGTGAATAATACTGAAAGTTTTTCGTTAAATTCCTTCTTAAAAAGGCTAAAAATGCTTTTTTTTTAATTTTATTTTATTTTTTTTATTTTTATAATGCTTAGAGCATTATTTCTTCTTAACTTATCCAACCGCTGTGTACAGTCAGTAAGTGGCCTTCATTTTTGCTCAGAAAGTCCAGTTGCTTTCAAAAAAAAAAAAAAGTAGTCCAGTAATTTCAACCCTCGAAATTATGGTGCATATATAGTAATCAGGACCAACTGAAGTCCATGATGGCGAGCACAGTTAAAACTCAATGACCTACTCTTGTAAGAGAAACCAAAATGCGTATGTAAGACTCCGGATGAAGATATTTTTTGGATTCTCTTTGTGAGGATTTTAAGGATAAATTCATCTTAGTCGTTCATCATATATTATGCAGTCAGATTTTGTTAGGTATTTATTGTATTCAATTTTAAATAAAAAAAATCAAAATGATTATGATCATACGATGACTGATGAACAAATAGGATGAACTGATCCATTGGATCCTCACAAAGAGGATCCTGATAAGATCGTGTTCCAGTGACTTCACCCTACTTTAACAAGTTAAGTTTACAGATATGCACTTTAGACGATAAATATTTTTGCTGCTGTCGTTACCTCATTTTAGTGGTAGCAGATAGCTGAGGACGGTGTCCTGCTAGTAAGAATTCTTGGTCATGCTTTCCTGTTTTATAGGAGTTCCCCTTCCCTTTTCTTTTTCTTTTTCTGTTTTTTTTTTTTTTTTTTTTTTTTAAAGAAAAGGACCAATTGGTGGCAATCCATCCTTCCAAGCTACGAGAAAACTCACAGAGGCATTTCACCTATTTTCTGACCACTATCGTACGATTCACAATGTCATATAAGTCATTAACTTTCTCAAACATTGTCACCAATTGGTGGCAATCCATCCTTCCGAGCTACGAGAAAACTCACAGAGGCATTTCACCTATTTTCTGACCACCATCGTACGATTCACAATGTCATATAAGTCATTAACTTTCTCAAACATTGTGACTAACATGTAGAGTGGTGTTATCTACACACTCATTTTACTTTCCACACACCTCTTTTAATTCATGTCATTTAGTCTTCTTCAATACATTGATCCAATGACTGGAAATTAATAAGAATGAGTTGAGGCAAAAAAGAGTATGTGGATA